ACTTATAAATGTTATAAGGGTTTGTTGCGCATTATGTGAAATATGAAGGATTCCAGTGGATTATGAAGAGGTTGTCGCAGGTGGCTACTAGCAACGCTAGGTGGAATAGGGTAGGGTATCTATTGAACCTCCAATGAAGGTGTTTGGAGGTGATCCTGCCAATTTTTGACGATGATAAGCGACACTTTTACGTATTTCGACGACTTTGTGGTGAAACTAATAAAATTAAAAACAATTAATAATATACATTAAAAATAAAATAATAATCCAATAAGATAATATTTATTATATTAAAAAAAATAATAAATTAAAAATAATATTTCAACAAATTAATAATTCGAAAAAACAAATTACAAAAATTAATAATCCAATAATGTATTATTTATTATGATGTAAATATTATATATTAAAAATAATATTTGTTGATATATAATAATCTAATAAAAAATTTGCTCCAACAAAAAGAAATATAAAAAGAATCAACTAAAAGAAATTAATATTAAATAAAATAACGTTTTTAATATATAATAATCCCATAATATAATATTTATTATGATATAAATATTATATATTAAAACTATATGTAGTGATATATATAATTCATAAAAAAGAATTACTTCGACAAAAAAATTAAAAAAATATATAATTAACTAAAATAAATTAATAATCCAATAAAAAAACATTTAGTATATGAAGAAAATAATAAACTAAAAGTAATAATACAATAAAAAAATAATTAAAAATTACAAAAATTAACTAAAAAAATTGATAATCCAATAATATAATATTTATTATGATATAGATATTATATATTAAAAACTATATGTACTGATATATAATAATTCAATAAAAAAGAATTACTCCAACAATTTTTTTTAAAAAATCAACTAAAATAAATTAATAATCCAATAAAAAATATTTATTAATATATAATATTATATATTAAAAATAATATCTATTAATATATAATACTTCATTAAAATAAAAAAGAATGTATGCAAAAATGGTCCTTATAGTATAGTAAAAGACAAAACTGCGAAAATGGTCCCTGGGGTTAAAATTGTCATTTTAAGGAAGTTAACGGATGAGGGACTAAAACCACAACAAAACTTGTTGAAAAGGACCAAATCTGCAACTTTTCAAACGTTTGGACCGTAGCCACATAAAATGAGAAACCACAAGGACCATTTTTGCAGTTTTGTCTATCAATTATAGTTATGGGCATAGATACATAATCCAACAGGAAAACCGTAGTCAACTCGCTGAGTTGTTTCCTAGACTCACCGAGTTTGCTTAGTAATCAGAAAAGGTTGGGGACCACGATCCAACTCGCCGAGTTGGATGAACAACTCATCGAGTTCCCTTAGTCTAAACCCATTCAGTCGCTTCCAATCGAGTTCAATGCTTCCACACCATAGATCTGGTCCCCTAGGACTGAGTTACCACGTAAAGTTGCTAACTTTACGTCCATGCATGGTGTCATGAAGCTAAAAACACCAAAACTAAGCTTTATAATATATCTAGGGCATGGAGAAGGGCCAAGGCTTGATAAAGCTGGCAACTTTAAGTCTCATAAGTCCATGAGTGCCTAGATCTGAAGTCATAACTTCATGATATACTCAAATCCCGAAAATGACTTCAATATGGCCATGAATGACAAAATACTACCCTAGATGAAGATCTAAGTATTAGAAAGCCAATGTATCAACTTTATACCTCAAATGAGTCAGAAATGAAGCTCAAATTCTGGATCTACTAGCTTCTTCTTGAACCTCCAAGTTTCTCCTTCCTTCACAAGCTTCAAAATCACAAAGAATGCACAAAAATGGCTCAAAACTCTCCAAAAGTGGATTAGGGTTTCGTGGCTAGGGTTTGGGACGATGGAGGCTGTAAATGAGGCCAACCTTTGGAGGTTAAGGTGATTAAATAGGGTGAAAAACCTCGAAATTAGGGTTTCACTCTGGCAGTCCTACTCGTCGAGTTGAGGCTCTCAACTTGTCGAGTAGGCTTCGCATCCCGTGTCCAAATTTCGTTCCTACTCGACGAGTTTGGGGCCTCCAACTCGTCGAGTTTCTATACAAAAGAGAATAAATTTGATTTAAAATACATACCCGAACCGGACGTTACAATGTCAATATGAAAATAAACCGCCAAACTTCTTCCCTTTCTCATGGAAATCGATTGAAGGTTTTAGTAAAGAGGGTGAGTGGAATTTTGGAAACAATCAAGTATAAAGAATCAAATGTGAGTTCCATCAAAGAAACTGGAGCTTAGATCCACCTTTAAGTTGAATAAAGTAACTATTTCCCTCTATTTCTCTCCAAAATTTATTCATCACCTTATGAATTCTCATAAATCCAAAACTGTGATGGATTTAATATGAAGAATATATTTTAAAGTTTGGTTATAAGTTGTGGATACAATTCTAACATCAACATCTCATTTACAAGTTGGAATTGAGATCAAATCATGATTTAAATGATTTGAAGCTTTAGATTTTCTGGAATATGAATTAGAAACTTTGAATCGTGAATCTAATGGTTTTTCTCAGTTTATAATTTAGTTTCTTATCTTCATTTCAAGTTAATGTCACCAAATCTTGCCACTAGTTAATTTTATCAAGATTCTGATGGATTCCAGGTCTTTAATGGAGCTTCAATGTGGTTTTAGCTTTGAGGATGATATGATTTGATTCTAAAAACAATGGAACTTCAAATTACATCATTATTCTAGCCTAGATTATCATTTTGTATCATATTTATTCAACTCAATGGTTAATTTTAATACTTCAACAATATCAATATGAATGCTACATGAAACTTTTCACCCACAACAAAAACAAAGTAGGATTTTAAGGCAACACTGAAGTGGTTACTTGTTGCGGAGAAAGTTATGCCATCGACATGAACAAATCGATTAAAAACAACGGAATCAAATGAATACACGACAACTTCGGTTCAAATGCCCGCAACACGATCAACCTTGATAACGATATCGACGAACCGCTTAAATGTCTGATGGGATGAGGATAAAATGAAGCTAACTGTATTGTTTTTATGGGGATAAAATGAAGCTAACTGTATTGTTTTTATTTAAAATGAATGAAGTGATTTTATTTTAATTAAAATTTATCTATCAAGATAATTTTTTTTTGAAGTAAACGAGTAGTTTTTTTTTTTTGTTATTGTTATTGTTTTTGTTTTTTACGGCAAGTAAATAAATAGTTTAGGTGGGATTTTTTTGGGATGATGGAACGGTAAGTGTTTTCTAGAACAAGTGGTAAGAAATGATGATCGATGTGATTTTATTTTATTATTATTATTATTATTATTATTATTATTATTATTTTTCTACGGGTGGGGGATGGATACAATAGTAATAATACACCCCATATATTCCGATATTTTTACCCTGGCATAGTTTACAAATTACAACATATTTCCCTACCTAACCACTTTCACAATTTTGACCCCCACGTGTAAAACTGCAAATGCCAATTGGCAAAGAGTATTGCATAAGTAACTCAATATAATATTCCCCACCTAACTACTCCCTCGCTTATAAATTTATAAAGTTAAAAATAGAGGTGGAAAAAAGATGAACCAAAATGAATTAAGCTAGGGTGAGGTAACCTCTAGAATTTTTTGTTCAATTTTATTAAAACTGCTATGTACTTTTTCTTAATCTTAAAAATAACTCTTTCAAAACAAAACCAACTAAAACAATTGATTACAAATAACGATCATGTGATGCTTTTAGCTAAGATTTTTAAATTAAAGAGCTTCTAGTATAATGGTAACATTTTTTTTTTGAGGTTAACATTACGTTTTGTTTGGACATAAACGAAATTAAGAATAGTTTAAGAGTAAATTAACATTTCATTAATAAAATTGAGATTTTGAACTTCACTCGTTAAATATACAAAATAACTCAAATAGACACATTTATAAACATTACAATTGAGCTTTTTGAAATTTATCCATTAAATATGGAAAATAACTCAAATAGACACATTTATAAACATTACATTTATTGTACGTAAAATCAAAGTTCAATTATTTATTTATTTATTTATTTATTTATTTTATTTTTAAAGAGCCATAATCTAACCTAAACTACATATTATCTTAAAGGAGACTTGAACTATTAAATTATAAAAAAACGAACATTTTTCTTAATATTTACTTGTTATTCGCTACTTAAAATATAAAATGGGCAAATACTTTTTACCCTTTTGTAAAAAGATGCATTTTTTTAATCTAATTTCAGGTGTCCCAAAATGATATATCAAAAATCTTTTTTGCCCATTCACAAACCATTAATCATTACAGTTCATTGCTCATGAATCACAAGTTTAACACATAAGACTTCTCTTACATATTTTTATTAGTTCTCATACAATATTTTTTTATATATGATTAAGCAAAACGTTTATTTTATGAATCAAGATATATTGATAAAAATGTTTTATTATCAAGTAAATGATTAAAACAACAAAACAAAATAAAGAAACTATTAGCATTTAGCAACATCAAACTTATCAACATAATTCAATGTAGCAATCCACTCTGAAGTTAACTGGTAAATTAATTTTTTTAATAAAATAATATGATAATATAATGTATTTAGACTATTAATGGTCGATTAATTTGCATTTTGTTGTAACAAACTTAATCATTTAAGAAGTATTTTGAGATTTGTAAAATTACCAAAAAGGGAAAACAACATTATATTTTTGGGTATCCACGTGCAAATCACGTGATAGTCCTCATCTCATCGAGTTTTGGAGGGGAGTAGCTGGTCATTTGACTTGAAGCCGTCACCTCATGACTTTTCCATTTTTCGGAGATATAAATTTAATCATTTCAGATAAACGTACACATATTTAGGCATAGAAAACAAGTATCTACAACAACGACGATTGGAAGATAGAAATAATTGCTCTGTCAAAAATAGATTTAGCTTCCTTCAAGATTTAACTGCTTTTTCGCCTACCAAACACACAACACATACCCCAACCTCCTTTTTGGAACAAAACCATTCTCTAGGGTTTTCACAGAACTCTTTTTTCATAATAATAATCCCCCATTTCTTGATTATCCTTATGCACAACATAATCGTGTTATGCATTTACTTCATCTAATTTGGATTGTTAAAGCGGGATTTTGAGGTGGTTTTGTTTCAATTTTGCACTTCTCCGATGCAATTGATGTAATGACACATCATCTTCAACGATTTGGCAATGGTGAGGCATATCTGCTCGAGAAGCGTAATGTTTTGGTTCTTGGTGGTGGTATCGATAACCACCGTGTTCAGTTCGGGATTTTGTTTGGATGATTTGGAAGGTTATGATAGTGATTTGGGAGGGAAGTTTATAAACCTGTTTCATCAAGACTACTCGCCGCCGGCTCCGCCGCCACCACCGCCGCACCCACCGTCGGCATCATGTGAGTTTGATCTTGGCGGGGTTGGGTCGTTAGATACTACTTGTGAGGTAGTTACTAGTTTGAATTTAACTCAGAATATGTATATAGCAGGGAAGGGAAATTTTTTCATCCTCCCCAATGTGACTGTGAGTTGTACGGTTTTCCCAGGGTGCGAAATTGGTATAAATGTTACGGGTGACTTTAGTTTAGGTGAAAACGCACGAATTATCGCCGGAACTTTTGAGCTCGAGGCTGGGAATGCAAGTTTTGCGGAAGGCTCCCTTGTGAACACCACTGCTTTAGCTGGTAATCCCCCGGAGCAAACTAGTGGGACACCTCATGGGATTGACGGAGCTGGTGGTGGTTATGGTGGAAGAGGTGCCGCTTGTTTATTGAATGACAAGAAGCTTCCGGATGATGTTTGGGGAGGCGATGCATATTCATGGTCGACCTTACAGAAGCCGTGGAGCTACGGAAGTAAAGGTGGGACTACGAGTCTGGATGTGGATTATGGTGGTGGTGGTGGTGGGAGGATAAAACTTGTGGTTAAGAATCTTCTTGAGATGAATGGTAGTTTATTAGCTGAAGGTGGAAATGGTGGTACCCAGGGTGGAGGTGGTTCAGGTGGCAGCATCTACCTCAAGGCTTATAAGATGACTGGAAATGGTTATATAAGTGGTTGTGGAGGTGATGGTTTTGGTGGTGGAGGTGGAGGAAGAATTTCTACAGACATTTTTAGCAGGCATGAAGAACCTAAAATCATTGTCCATGGTAGGATTCTTGCATTCATTTGGTGTTTTTTTTTTATTATTCATAAATTAACTCTGAATCTTTTTTAATAATTTTTGCAGGTGGTAATAGTCTAGGATGCCCTTCAAACGCAGGTGCTGCAGGCACTTTTTATGATGCTGTAACACGTAGCCTTACAGTTGATAATTTCAACATGACAACTGACACTGACACACTTCTAATGGAGGTTCCATATCAGCCTCTTATGACCAATATTTTTATTCGAAGTTTTGCTAAGGTTTCTGTTCCCTTGCTATGGAGTCGTGTCCAGGTCAGCATTTGGTTATTTGTATTACATATCCACCTCTGTTTTATATGATGAAAGAAATATTTATTATAATTTCTGGTATGATTCAATTAGGTTCAAGGCCAAATTAGTGTCCTGGATGGAGGTATCTTGAGCTTTGGGTTAGCTCATTATGCTTTATCAGAATTTGAGGTTCTTGCAGAAGAGCTTCTAATGAGTGATTCTGTAATCAAGGTAAGTAACAAGCAACAACCTTTTTGCCATTTTGTCATCAGAAAGTTAAAGTATCTGTTTTGTGATGAGGTTTTTGTGTTATTTTTTTTTTCTTCAGGTTTATGGTGCTCTACGTATGACTGTAAAGATGTTCTTGATGTGGAATTCACAATTGCTTATTGATGTTGAGGGTGACCAGAATGTGCAGAATTCATTTCTTGAGGGTAGCAATCTTATTGTTCTCAAGGAATCTTCTACCATACGTTCAAATGCTAATCTTGGGGTACATGGCCAAGGTTTATTAAACTTGTCAGGCCCAGGTGACTGTATTGAAGCACAACGTTTGGTTCTGTCCCTGTTTTATAGTGTCAATGTGGGCCCCGGATCAGTCTTACGTGGGCCCTTGGAAAATGTTACAGCTAATGCTGTGACACCGAAGCCGATTTGTGACTCTCAAGAATGTCCATATGAGTTGCTGAATCCACCTGATGACTGCAATGTCAATGCTTCTTTGTCCTTTACTCTTCAGGTAATTCATAATTGATTTAGAAGTTAACAATTTTTGAGATATTGACAGTTTTTTTTTTCTTCAGTTATGTCGTGTTGAAGATATCTTGGTTGAAGGCCTTATAAAAGGGTCTGTTGTGAACTTCCATAGAGCAAGAACTGTTACAGTTGAATCTAGTGGGACAATTAGCACCTCAAAGATGGGTTGCAAAGGTGGTATTGGGAGGGGGAAAGTGTTGAATGTTGGAATTGGGAGTGGGGGTGGTTATGGTGGTTATGGTGGGTATGGTTGTTATAATGACACCTGCATTGATGGTGGTGGGCCATATGGGGATGCTGATTTGCCTTGTTGGATGGGTAGTGGTGGTGGGAATGATGTCATCAGTGGGTCAACAGCTGGTGGTGGTGTTCTTGTGATCGGTTCTTCAGCTAATCCATTGCCAAGTTTGTATGTTAATGGTGTAGTAGGATCTGATGGAGGAAGTTATGAAGAAAACATTTTCAAGAAATACGATTGGATGGGAGGATCAGGGGGAGGATCAGGGGGAACGATACTTGTGTTCTTGAATGATCTGTTTGTTGATGAGTCTGGAATCCTTTCGAGTGATGGAGGTGAAGGTAGTCCAAACGGGAGTGGTGGTGGTGGTGGTGGAAGGATTCATTTTCATTGGTCACACATACCAACCGGAGATGTATATCAACCTGTTGCTAATATCAAAGGAAGCATCTCCACTCGAGGTGGATTGAGTGGAAATGAAGTTGGTGCTGGAGGAATTGGAACAGTCACTGGAAAATCTTGTCCAAAAGGGCTTTTTGGTACTTTCTGTGAGGAATGCCCTGTTGGCACTTACAAAAATGTTACAGGATCTGATAAGGAGTTGTGTTTGGAGTGCCCTGCCAATGAGCTTCCCCATCGTGCATTCTATATATATGTCCGAGGTATTTGCTTGTTGACTTTATGGATTCTTTGGTTTGGCTTTGATTGATTGACATTGACAGAATCTTCTTTTATGACATGTGATTGATAGGTGGTTCTGCTGAAACTCCATGTCCTTACAAATGCATTTCAGACAAATACCACATGCCAAATTGTTACACTGCTCTTGAAGAACTAATGGAGACATTTGGTGGGCCATGGGTATTCAGCCTTCTTCTGTTGGGTCTTCTTATCCTGTTGGCGCTTGTGCTTAGTGTTGCAAGAATGAAATTCATGGGGGTTTGATGACTCACCAGGCCATGGACCAACTCAACAAGGATCTCAGATGGATCACTCCTTTCCTTTCTTGGAATCGCTCAATGAGGTGAGGTTGCTTCAAATTGTTTTATGTATAAAAATATTATAATTCATTCATTTTGTTTTAGGTTTTGGAAACAAACAGAGTGGAGGAGTCTCAAGGGCATGTGCATAGGATGTACTTTATGGGAGGAAACACTTTCAGGGAACCATGGCATCTTCCTCACACACCTCCTAAACAAGTGATAGATATAGTGTATGAGGGTGCATTTAATAGATTTGTTGAAGATATTAATGCTTTAGCCACATATCCATGGTGGGAGGGATCAATATACCGCATTCTTTTTTCCTTGCTTACCCTCTTGCATGGTCATGGCAACAATGGAGGCAAAAATTAAAGCTACAAAGACTGCGTGAGTTTGTTAGGTCTGAATATGACCATGCATGCTTGCGTTCATGTCGATCACGTGCTCTCTATGAAGGTCTTAAGGTCAGTAGTCAGTCAAAGACACATACACCAAAATGATGACATGTGATACTGATATTGATATTGTAGGTGGCTGCAACATCTGATTTGATGCTAGCTTATGTGGACTTTTTTCTTGGTGGTGATGAAAAAAGAAGCGATCTTCCTCCACACCTTCATCAAAGATTCCCGTTGTCTCTTTTATTTGGAGGTGATGGAAGCTACATGGCTCCGTTTTCACTTCACAGTGACAATGTTATTACAAGTCTCATGAATCAGGTTTTCCACCACTTCATTTCATTTCATTTTCTTTTAAATCTCTTTTCTTGTGTCCTGGTTATTTATTTATGTATGTTATTATTATTTTCAGTGTATCCCTCCTACTAGTTGGTATCGATTTGTGGCTGGTTTAAACGCACAATTACGGTTGGTGCGTAGCGGTCGACTCAAAGTAACATTTCGGGGGGTTGTGGTATGGATTGAAACTTGTGTGAATCCGACTTTTGGGGTTTATGGTGTACGCGTTGACCTTGCTTCATTTAAAGCTACAAGTGGTGACAGTTATCAATATGGGCTTGTGGTATCTGCTGTACAGGACCAACCCCAACCCCAACTGGATCATAGGTAACTAACAACAGTAACAGTTGCTACTAAATCAGAAAAAAGAAATTGTTTTTATTGTGTTTGTTTTGAGTTTTGACAGTAATGCCATTGAAGAAGATGAAGATTCAGAAATGAAGGTGGATGATAATAAGAAAGAGAAGAAGAGTTACGGTAGGGTTTTAGACATCAACAGTTTGAAAACACTCAAGGAAAAGAGGGATGTATTGTTTCCACTCTCCTTTATTATATACAACACCAAACCTGTTGGCCACCAGGTAACCTTTTTTTTTTTTTTTTTTTTTTTTTAAATATATAGATAATTAATTGTTGAAAAAAATGTATGTATGTATGTATGTATGTATGTATGTATGATGGAATGGTTTATGGTTAATATTGTTGCAGGATGTAGTGGGATTGGTGATATCGGTGATACTGCTAGGAGACTTTAGTCTGGTTTTGCTTACGTTGCTTCAGTTATTTTCATATTCATTAACAAACGTGTTATTGGTTGTAATGATTTTGCCACTTGGGATTTTGCTTCCTTTTCCTGCTGGCATCAATGCTCTGTTTAGTCAAGGCCCCAGGCGATCTGCTGGGCTGGCCCGTATATATGCTCTCTGGAACATAACATCCTTGGTCAACGTCGTAAGTCTCAAAAACTCTTAAATCATATACACACACACAACAACTTCTTCCTTGTCTTCATTTCCTAAATTATAAACTAATTTTGTAGGTGGTTGCTTTTATCTGTGGTTATGCTCATTATATGAATCAGTCCACTAAAACCCCTTCAGATGTTCACCCGTGGACCATGTAACTAACTAACTAACTACTACATTTTCACCTTCTTCTTTTTTTTCGATCAATTCACACATATCTTGTAACATTCTGATTGGTTGAATGGTGTGCAGGGAGGAAAGCGAGTGGTGGATATTTCCGGTTGCATTAGTATTGTGTAAATGGATTCAGTCGCTGTTTATAAATTGGCATATTGCAAATTTGGAGATTCAAGATCGCTCTTTATATAGTGCTGACATGGCAGGCTTTTGGCAAACATCATAATAGACTAGAGAAAACTGTTGATTATCAACATTTTCAATTTTTGTTTTTGTTTTTGTTTTGGGTATTGGTTTTCTATTCGTTGTAGGGTAGGTAGGTGGGCCATGGCATAATAGATAAAATTGGAATTTAGGTAGAGGCAGGGTAAAAGAAGGCTGGGAGTTTATCCTTTTGTTGTATATAAATAATGATATATCATATGCCAATACAATACGGTTTTGGATATTTTTCTGATTGGTATACATCCTTTCATTAAATAGCAACTTACTTCACTTTTTTTTTTAATTAATTAATTTATTTTTTATTTTTGTGATTGGAGTTTATTTTTTTACACATAATAACAATCTACTTTCATTTTCTTGTCCATAATAACAACATACTTACAATTCCTTACCCATAGTAGAAGTGTACTTACATTTCTGCTTGTATCCCAAGTTTCCTTGTTACAAAGGTGACACGGTTTTTTTTTTTTTTTTTTTTAATTTTTTTTCAGTTATGTTGAAGTAAATCTTTAATTTTGTGGCTTTTTAGGCTGAATCCCATAAGAACAACGATAATCTGTTTTTTTTTTAATCTTTAATTACATAATGATATGAGATGGTCGGCAACAACTACCGTAGGATATGAAGACTTGCTTTTTGTATAAGAACTCCAGTAGAAAAAGGAAAAAAAAAAAGACAATAAACAAATAAATCTAAACATATGAAAATAAAAAAATATTCAAGTGCTTCCACACTAAATGATCCCTTCATATAATACTATTTTCTTCAGAGCCTTTTTAGTTAAATCTAATTAAAAAAATGAATGAGCAAACAAGTTATAACTAACAATTATAGCATCAAAAGGAATATCATTCTAATTTAACCATCACATCACAATGTTTACAAAAAGGCCAACAACTAAACCAAAACAAATTACATCTAATCTAAAGTTAGTGCCTTCTCTATACAAGACCCCCCTCCATCTTTGTCATATACTGGTTTTGACAGTTTGATTTTCACGATCCTCTCCGACCTTCGTGTGTGTTTGTCATAAACCAGAAGTTGAGTCTTATCAATAATCCCTTCCTCGTCTTTTTCTACAGATAGGGCTTCTTCAATCTCAACAGATGTATACCCAGAATCTCTCATATCTTTGATTTTTACTTGTGTTTCAGCATCTCGAGTTTCATACACAATGTTTGTCACAGGTATATGAATCCTAGGCCTACCACGTTTCTTTTTCAACTTTGGGGGCCGGTTTTGTGTTGGATTTTTGCAAGATCTCGTGTTATGACCCCTTTGTAAGCAGTTTTTGCATGTATAGTTCCTAGTAGAAGATACTTTTATTATATCATCCTCATCAGTTGCATCCTTCTTCCTTTTGGTTGAGAGCATACCAGGCATTATTTTGCTTTTAGAAAGAAAAGGGTTCATGTAGTTTTCGCATGCTACTTCCATTTACAAGTTTAATGTTATGATACCTGAAAATTTTCACATCCTACAGGTGCAATATTGTCCACCAAAAAAAGCCTCAAACCCAACTTGAAAAAAACATCTATATGAATAATCAAACGATGATGATATGTACAATTCCTTCGAATTTTATATGAAAGTAACGAAGAAAACATCAAAAAATGTAACAATGTTTAGGGAAACTTACTAAGATTGATTGCTGATGTAAGAGTATATTGAGTTTAGATGTCGATTTCTGATCTTGAAGCAATTTCTTCCGAAACGAGGGTTTATGCGACTTTACTTCAGCGGTTCTTCCAAAAACACAGACGATTGATTATTTTAGATAAAAAAGAAAACAAAACCCACGTTTCTCTTCATTTTGGGTTTGCTAATTCCAAAGCCAAAACGGCTAAAGCCAAATGAAGTTACATGTTTTAAAGCATGTAATACAAAATGTAAAATAAAAATCTTTTTGAAAATAGAGATTTAGAAGCTGTTGTTTTCTAAGAAAAGCCACTCTAACCAACCAGGTGCGCCGCACACATATACACAACAATTGTTCTTTCTCAGCTATTTGTATTTTTAGAAGCGTAATCCCCTCTTCAAAGTTCAAACTATGTCAGTTCCTACCTTACTTTAATTTATAGTACTATTTAAATACAGATTTATTTTAATTTTTTTAATATGTTTACTATTTTAATAATACTGTGAAAGATATTATATACAATTTGAGTATATTTTAGACAAAACTGCATAAATGGTCCCTGTGGTTAGCTGAAAATTGTCACTTTGGTCCAAAAAGTTTTGGACTAGCACCAGAGGTCCAAACTTTTCATTTTGTTGCGATTTTGGTCCGTTTTGCTTTGAACTTTTTTTAAAATGACGATTTTGCCCTTATTTTTTTCTTTTTCAGTTTTTTTATTAATTTTATTAATTTTTTTTATTAAAATAAATAAAAAGAAAATTGAAACTAATTTCTCTCTCTCTCTCTCTCTCTCTCTCTCTCTCTCTCTCTCTCTCTCTCTCTCTCTCTCTCTCTCTCTCTCTCTCTCTCTCTCTCTCTCTATCACGTACCCATCTTCTTCTTCTTCCTGAAAATCAGTCCAGATGAACAAAAAAACACCCATAACAAATTGTTGAACTCGTCGGTTATCAATGGAGATGGAGAAAACAGAAGGAGAAATCATATCTAGGGTTAGTCTTCTCCATCTGTTTTTAGAGATGTTCGTCTTCTCCATTTGTTTTAGAGATGTTCGTCTTCTCCATATGTTTCCAAATGTGTTTGTGTTCTCCATCATAGTCATGATCGGTTTACAGCACCACCCCCTTCTCAGTTTATCTTCTCCATCTGTGGCTCGATTTTCAGATCTATCACCAGAAAACCCACTTCAACCACACCCTCTAGTACCATGGTAAATCTTCAACATATCGTCTCCAATCTTCGATCTCGTCGCCTCCGTCCAAATCTGTAAACGTCGTTATTTCTGGAAACTCAAGCCACAAACGCCACCTCCGCCTCCGTCCTTGTCGATCCTCGTCTCTCTCTATCTTTCTCCATCGAACGTGAAGACCGTCGCAGACCAAAGATTTGGCTAACTAAGGGCAACGACTGGTTAGGATTATCAGATCCGACGAGTTAGGGTTTCAGAATAACGAGTATTAAACGAGTTCGGGTCTCCCAAATGACGATCTTTCTTCTTTTACGTCGGAAACCCTCTGTCATTGACGTCTTTCTTCTTCGTCGAAAATCCTCTGTCACCGACGTCTGTGGCTGGAGTTCGTCTCTCTACTTCTCCGAAGTTAGTGGTGGTGGTGGTTACAGATCTGCATATGGTGGTGGATCGGCAAGGGTTTCTCACTCCCTCCAACGCTCCCTTTCACTCCCCCTCTCTATCTTCATCCTGGAATAGCCACTGTAGGTTACAGGACATTTCCAGAATTCAAACTTGAGAATGAGAGATGTGGAGGCGGCGAGCTACGGTGGAGACGGTAACCGGTGGTGGTGGTGTTCATGATTACCAGAGGGAAAAAAGATGGGGGTGGGTGGTGAATGGATGATAACACGATTATTTTTTTTTCTTTTTTTTGTTTAATTTTAAATCAGAAATACAACAAAATAAAAAAAATAGAAAATGAAATTAATGAGGGGCAAATCGGTCATTTTAAAAAAGTTCAAAGCAAATTGGACCAAACTCGCAACAAAATGAAAAGTTTGGACCTCTGGTGCTAGTCCAAACATTTTTGGACCAAAGTGACAATTTTCGGCTAACCACAGAGACTATTTGTGCAGTTTTGTCTATATTTTATATAATTTTAAAACCATTTGATAAATTTCATATAAATATTTTTTTATTACATTGCCTATAACAAAATATTAATAAATTATAAATTTAATCATTAAAATTATCAAATTTATTGAAACTAACCGGAAACTAACCACTGTTTTCGAAAATTTAACAAAATAAACATGTTAGTTCGTTAAATTAACAATTTTATTTATGGTTGTTTAACAAATATTATGTTTAATTATTTTATATAAAGACTTTAAAAATCATATCATCACAATGATCTTTATATTTGATTTTCTGATTAAACTAAATAAAACTTTGATTTAAAATTATTTTTAACCATTGTATGGTTAATTTCAGTTTATTGCAGCTGTATATAAACGTTAAAAAACAAACATGCTTCTTATTACATGTTGTAGCCGTTTGGTCCGCCTCTTATACTGTACAAGATTACAGACATGGTCCACAGACTTCATAGTTTTCGCTTCGAAAAAACAAACAACACCTAAGTAGCTGGTCATAACCGATTTTCATATTTATATTTTTTCTCCTCAAGAATTTTTGATCTAATAGTTTTCATCATTCATAATTTTAAAGTTAAATTAATGGTATTTGTAAGTTGACATTTCGGTCCCTTATTAAATTTTAAAGTTACGTTTTTAGTCTCTCTCTCATATATATATATATATATATATATATATATATATATATATATATATATATATATATATATAAAGACTTTAAAAATCATATCATCACAAAATTTTATAACGTTTAAATAAAAAGTAATATTAATAAAAATGAAAACTATATATATATATATAAAACTTTATTTTGATACTTTTGTGCTTTAGTTAATATGATATAATCGTCACTGTGCTATATGTAGAGTCTTGACATTTATAAATCACATTCTATATACAAATTTTAAAGGAGTTACCCTACGTATTAAAGTTACGTTTTTGGTCTCTCAAATGATTTTTTTATAGTTTTTGTTTTAAGTAATTACAAACAAGTTCTCCGTCGCAACACGCCGATGACTTAAATACTAGTTATTATTATTTTATTTTCAACAACACCTTCAGAGGACAGTGACCAAATTAAAAAGGGACTGATTGTCATTGTTAAGTCTACCATGACACCGTGATTGTTATTGTGGAGCATGTATATTGCAACAACTGAATAAAGTTAACCATTGAAGGCATTCTTTGACAAATATTTTTATTAAATAAGGTCGGTAGAAATTGACAAAGATTTTTATTAAACAAGGTCAGTAGAAATAGAAAACTGAAGAACCGGTCTTTTTTTTTTTTTTTTTTTTTTTTTTTTTTTTTTTAAGTTAACATAGTAGATGTTATAACATAACATACAAAGTTAGGGCTTTTTTGATCATTTTATTTGGACTTAACTTCTTATTAGCCAAAAAAAACTAACGGTGTTCGATTTTGATAAAACCAAAACATTAATATAATGTTTTCTAAAATTATTCTTAAGTTGCCTTTGAAAATCATATAAACCAATGATAATTAAAACATAAAAAAAACTTAATTCTTTTTTTGGAAACGTCAAATATCAATAAAAAGCCACGAGATTAGCAAGTGACTAAATCACAGGCAGAGTACAACCCGATGGTTAATTCAAAAAATAAAATCCAAACTATTGTTTTTGTTTTTTTTTTTTTATTTTATTTTTATGAAATTGATCATAAAAGGAAGAACGTTGATGCATTCAAGTATTTAACGCTATATTCATTCGTATTTGAAAAGAATAGACGCTCCTTGAAAGGCACGTGGCTGACTTTAATAATCTGACCGTTGCCGAAACAACCCCCTCCCCCTCTATTCAAACACCGCTATCTTCCCCTTCCTCCTTCCCGTTGTTGTCTGCCTCTCTCCTCTCTCTAAAACCTTTCTCTCTCATGGCAACAGCGATGGAGACGCATCCTCAGCAAAAGGTACCATCAATTGCTGTTTGGAATTTTTTAGTTTGGAACGAATTTGTTTCTCGTTTTTTCAATGTTAGCTTTAGGGTTCGTTTTATCGTTAATATCTGTTTGTATTTCACACATTAGAACACATGTGCGTTATTATTAGGTCTTCAGGTATTCTAGAAATGATGTTAAACATTCAATTTGAAAGTTGCATTATGCGAATTTGGACGATAGAGATGTAATTGGGTTTAATCGTCATCAATGGTGATACAGTTCCAACTTTTATCTCCGGAAACTGTCCTCGTGTGGTAGATCTGCTTCTATTTCAGTAGATTGAGATGTAGCAGTAGATAGATTTAATACTCTGTGATAATTTGATGTATCAAAGGATTGAAGGATAACTTTAAGTGAAAACCTTTTTTTATTAAAATCCTATTATGTTCATACTATCAGTTCCATGAGTTCTAGCACAAATCCATTTGAATTTGAATGCTAGTGAAGATGCTTGAATTGTTATGAGCTACTACTAATGATCTTTGGATGCATCTATTGGCTTTTCTTTGTTGTGATTATATAGGCTTCTTCAGAGGCTGCAAACGAGAAGAAGAGGTGGACTCTTAGTGACTTTGACATTGGGAAGCCACTAGGAAGGGGGAAATTCGGTCATGTCTATGTAGCAAAAGAAAAGAGGGTGAGCAAATCAAATCTAATCACCAATCTTAACATATTATGTCTGATTTGCATCCTAACCTAAACTATCATCTCCATTCTTTTGTTAATATGCTGAATAACATCCATGTTTGTTCTCAAAACAGAGTAATCATGTTGTGGCATTGAAAGTGCTTTTCAAAAGCCAACTTAAACAGTCTCAAGTGGAGCACCAGCTTCGTCGAGAAGTTGAAATACAAAGCCATCTTAGACACCCTAATATCCTAAGACTCTATGGTTACTTCTATGATCAGGTAAAATTTACCTCTATACCCTTACCTTGATGTCATCAACAATGGCCATTTTACAACTCTAATACATAGATAATAACTTGAACAGCAAAGAGTCTACTTGATTTTGGAGTATGCTGCAAAAGGTGAACTCTACAAGGAGCTCCAGAAATTCAAATGCTTCACTGAACGACGTTCTGCAACTGTAAGTATACGATGATGTCATTATTTATGTTTACTTTATTATTTTATTATCATTATATAACAATTTTTATTCACATTTAAACAGTATGTTGCCTCATTAGCACGGGCTCTCATATATTGTCATGGGAAGCATGTTATTCATAGAGACATCAAACCAGAGAACCTCTTGATTGGTTCACAGGTAATATATACTAATATACAATTTTTTTTTCTTCAAAATTTCGTTTTTGTGCTTGATTTGAATAATTAATTTTACATATATGTGTTATATTTTTCAGGGTGAGTTAAAGATTGCTGATTTTGGGTGGTCAGTGCACACATTCAGTCGCAGGCGAACCATGTGTGGTACATTGGATTATCTTCCACCTGAAATGGGTAAGACCCATGACAAGCTTTCTAGGGATATTTACGAATTTGCCACTAGGTCTAGTTTATTTAAGTTTGAAGGTTGTATATATGTTTGTATATATATATATATATAGTGGAGAGTGTGGAGCATGATGCAAGTGTGGATATATGGAGTCTTGGAATCTTGTGCTATGAATTTCTGTATGGTGCCCCTCCTTTTGAAGCAGAAGAGCACTGTGATACATATAGAAGGTAATCCTGCTGTTTACGAATTTTTCACTATCTTTGTAGGGACAAACAAAAGATCTCTTTGGATGATGTGAACGTGGGCCCCAGTCCACTCCAATGTACACCAAAACTATATGCCATGTCATATATCTGATAACACCCAATTTTGCAGGATAAGGCAAGTGGATTTGAAGTTCCCTTCAAAACCGGTAGTTTCTGCAGCTGCAAAGGACCTCATTAGTCAGGTTTCATCTAACTCTATCTCTCTCCCTCCATTGGAGTTTACTATTTTACCCTTTAGAGTTGTTTGTTTAATAATATATATATTTTTATTATGATTTGTAATGTAGATGCTTGTGAAGGATACTTCAAAGCGGCTGCCACTACACAAGCTGCTTGAACATCCATGGATTGTTCAGAATGCGGACCCCTCAGGGGTATACAGGAGTGGTTGAGTTTTTGCTTGATAACACAAGACACAAGAGAATCCATCCATAACAAGTTGTAAAAATAACAATTTAATCCAATTATTGTTGTTCCTATCTATCTATGTATAGAGTAATACTCCTTTGCGCGGTTTGATTTGTGTGACTAGAATGCCCTTGTAGGCCAAATAAGAAAGAATAAGAATGTGATAGCTCCTCACTTTTGATCCAATTATTGTTCCTATCTATGTATAAAGTAACACACTTGAAGATCCTTTAGGGTTTGGACGGGTACCGACAAGTGTTAGCTCCTCACATAAGCTTCTATTATTTGAAAATGAAGAAAATAGATGAATTTGGGGTCCAACCTTCATAACATTTCTAACTTTAACCCTAGAAAGTGAATATTTAACAATTTAGGTCCAACCTAGTTAAGTTCATTAAGTCAAACATCATACTATTTAGCTTCTTGCCTCTCAACATTCAAATTTTTTATTTACGTCAAGACTTTTTTTAGTTAATATTTATAGTCTTATAACCTCTAATATAACTCCATAACTTTAAGTCCAAACTTTAGTTAAATAAATTAGGTCAAAAGTCATACATTAACTCCCAAGGTTGACTTCCAATCTCAAAAGCTTTTCATTAATTATATTTTAATTTAGTTAATGAAAATTAAATTAATTATTATTATTATTAAAATTGAAACTTCCAGTCTCATATTGCTGGTGTTGCAATAACTTATTCATTAGGTAATAATCGAATTAATGAATATAAATTATCAAATGTGGACACAAAGAGGAGAGGAAGGACACTTTGAGCAGAAAGAATTCCGATCTCAATTTGGTGGTATATGTAAAGTAATTTAAAATTAAACAAAAATTAATCATAGTTTTTTTTTTTTTTTTACATTATTGATGTAGTTAATTTATGCCTAAGTTTGATGTAATTTGGAAAATTGTAAAAATCACTTTTTTAATTTACATACAATTTAGAAAACAGAAAATTTTCATTTTCTTGAAAAAAATTTGAAAACTAAATCAACCAATCGTATTTTCAAAATTTTCATTTTCATTTGGAAATTTTCATGGAAAACTAGAAATATTTTCGCACTCTTAGCCATTCTCTTTGTGAAGTAATAAAAACTCCTTACATACAAGGCTTCACTAATTTGTTCATTACAAGTCCCACATCACTCTAACCCTTATATTTCCCTTATATAATAACATTCCTAATTTCCCTTATCACACAACCTTGATTGTACTTTGGATTTCTAAAACACTTTTTGGTGGTTTTCTTATGAAAACAAGCCACGTGTCTCAAAATTTCAAAGGTTTTTTCTCATATGTTTTATATCTTCTAAAAATTATTTACCTCAAATTAGTTTAAACCAGACTTTTGGAATCGAGACCAAGTTTCATTCATTGCAACTTGCAAGTGCTTTTGATTATGTATGTACCATTTGTTAGAAAACATGACCGGTTTGTTATCAAAAAGATTCTGCATATTTGATTGATTATGTGACTATGTGAGTTCACTTTCCTTAATTACTATTTCGACCCTAACTGTATGGGTTAACCGGAATTTAATCTTTTATAATCCACCAAATGCACTTTCAATTCAGGCACAAAAGAAAGTTATAGGAGAGTATATGAAATGTGTTATGTTACATAGCCCCATATTTTGTTTTGTCTGTGATCAAACTCGCCTTATATACAAGTATGCACTCCGCAACACCTAACTTATATTATATTATAGTTTAAGTCCCCATTAGCACTCTCGTTGATTTCAATTACACTTTAATGACACGTGACACTAAAATCACCAACATGGACGCCATTAATGAATCATTGATGATGATCTCTCCTTTAGGGTTCATGTATGGATATTCTTGATTAACAAGTGAAATTAAAGAATAATTACTTTGATTAAAACATTGAAATACAACAGTACAAGGGGGAGTGAAGCCATTAAATCCTACATATATATATATATATATATATATATATTTATAATTATTATTCAACAGAGTCACTTATATGAATAAAATATTATACAAGTCACACTAACCGCAGCTTAAGCATCTCAAGAGACCGGTGCATTCGAACCTTGTTCCTACATTGACCGAATCGTTCAGATGGTCAATCATATTCACAAGGCACTCGATCATCATTTCAAAATCTTTTTTCTCAGTTGTTACCTGAAGTACTAGTAATATTGCTCTGGTAATTTTCTCCTTCCATCAACTCCATTGCACGTTGTTCTTCCACTTTCTGGAACTCCAACACCTCTTTTGGTCCCAAAAAACTTGGCTGATTCGTGGATGAAAGTACCCTTGCCCACATCCTATCAGTGATCACAACCTTATTATGATGATCCACTATACGCTGCATGCATGCCAAATAATATCATCATCATCATCATCATCATAAAAACAAGAAACTAGAACAATCACAGTTGTGTTTTCACAAAAACCACTACATTTTCAACATTTCACTAAAAAACCACTACTTTATTTTTTTCTTTAAGAAAAACCACTCATATTTCTAAAAGTTTTAAGAAAAAACATTCATATTAATAGAGATAACCTACACTGAAAGGAATATAAGTATGTCGACCATGCACAAGCCCACTAATGAACCCTGTGAACCCCGCCATGGCTCCATGAACACAGCTTTGAGCAAGAAGAGTACAGTAGATATTGTCAGATGCATTACTTGGAACAGCACGAATCATGTATGTAGGATCTGTATGATTTTTATAAACTTGTTCTAGTTAATAACAATGGTATAAAAAACTGAAAGAATGTGTCATAAAATATGATTGAAAAGTTACCAATGTATTTAAGAGTAATCGGGAAGTCTTTCTTTTTTGCAAAGTGAGCCTACAATAAAATTGTGAAAGATGATTAACACTTTGAAGCAAGTAAACTTGATCATCAATTCTTAATGATAAATTAATTATTATACCTTAATGCTATCAGAAAGCCACAACCCAACATCTTTAAGCAGTTTGTTTCCGGAAGCATCTTTGGCAGCTGATGAATTGCTTTGTGCAACAAGTTCTTGACCAGCTCCTTCGGCCACAACAATAACCATGTGTCCGTTTTCTTTTAGTCGTTTCTCCACAAATTGTAAAAGCCCACCTTCACCATCAAGATAGAAGGGCGATTCGGGTATTAAACATAAATCCACATCACGACTTGCAAGAGTTGCATACATTGCAATGAACCCTGAAACAACAATTTAAAAAAAAAACGATTCAAATAGGCAGATAAGTGTTGTCTGAATAAATGATGTTTGAAATTTTTTGAATAAAGTGACGGCACACTTGGGGAAATTGGAACAAATTTTTAAAAAATCGATAGGGAAACCCTCAATCCTATGATTTTTCTATATTAAGTCGTTGTTTCTGTATTTAAAAAAAAAACACTGTTTATTTTTCTATCCATTCAAATTTCTACGAATAGTATGCTAAAGGATAAAGTGTTGTATACATAAAGTCTGTTTCCTTTTTGAACCGAATGAAGTGAACTAAACTGTCTGGAGGATACTAAATGACCATTTTACCCTTAGTGGGTAGTGAGCTTATTAGTACAAGATGAGCTTACCGCTGTAGCGCCCCATTAATTTGACTACTCCTATGCCGTTTTCTGCACTCTCCGCCTCAACGTGTGCAGCATTAATAGCACGTTGAGCCTCTTCAACAGCAGTATCAAAGCCGAATGACCTGTCAATAACCTGAAACAAGAATCAAATAGTTTTAGATCATATGTTTGGCTTGAAAAGATACAACTAATTTATTTAATTAAAAAGTTGAATTATCTGGGATGAAAATACCGAAATATCATTGTCAATTGTCTTTGGAATCCCGGCCACAACAGCTTTAATTCCCCTTCGTCTGATTTCCTGCATATATATAGATCGAACCACAAATTATATAAATACATTCAATGCATAATCACAAAAAAAATGAGTCTTGGGGAGAGATATTATAATGCAACATACTTCATAAATCACAGCTGCACCTTTTTGAGTTCCATCACCTCCAATTATATAAACCTTATAAAGCAATCAATCAAATTCATCAATCATTCATTAAGATGCATGCAAGAATCATTACTGGAAAAATATTAATCATTCAACATGTGAAACTTGAAACACCTGATTGATACCACGATCTTGAATGCTGTCAACTATTTTTGATTTGTCATGGCCACCTCTTGAAGAACCAAGAACTGTTCCACCACGTTTATGAATATCATTTACAAACTTTGGTGTTAGTGTTATTGTATTCTTTGAGTAGAAGCCTCTATATCCTCCCTACACAAGATCACAAACAAATATAATAAGAATTATGAATACAATTTTGTATCTTTTTATATATACATTTTGAAATGATTATGTGGTTATTGATATGGAGACTTACATCAATTCCAAGAACTCTGGTGACGCCATACATGTGATGAAGGGCACATACAATTTCTCTAATCACGGTATTTAAACCAGGGCACAAACCACCACATGTTACTACACAAGCACGCACCTGATCTGATCTAAAATAAACCTGCATCAATAAAAAAAAGTGTTTTTTTTTTACAATAATTGAGATTTAAAAGAAAAAACAAAAAGTAAAAATTGAATAATAATAAATAGCATACGCTTTGGCGGGGTCCAGCACGCCGAAAATGAACTCCTCTTGGACCGTTCTTCTGGACAACAACCTACGAGAAGACAAAACTAATTAGATTTGTTGATGGTGATAGCTATGTTTTTCTTTTTTTAATAATATAACTTATAACTTACCTTTTCTGGTACAGTATCATCAAAATCGATAAAATATTGCCTGAAATATCGTAGGACATGTTGTTTATTAAAGATTAAAATGTATTGAAACGTGTATATTGAAGATTGAATCATAATAAGATGCAAATATACTCACTTTACAACGGAATATGCAGGATTGAATCGCATTGGATTGGGATATGTCTGGAGGTGAATAATGAATGTTTTAGTAATAAGAATGGCCAAAATTAAACAAAAACAGATTCACTCAAACCCTAAGAGAAAAGAAAACGAATTAAATGAGGATGATGAAAAAAATAGAGAGAGTACTTTGAGATTAGGAATATAATCGGTCAAGTGAGGAATGTCTTCAAGAACATAACCATGATCCCCTGTTTCAATCTTCACATTATAATTGTTGCGTTCTTCCATTTCTTTCCTCTTTAGAAACAAAAAGTTACAATTTTTTCAAGAATCAAAAGATGGGTTCGTTTCGTTGGATGAATATTTAGTGGAGATAATAACGATCATTAATGGAGATTGTGAGGAATAATTTTGTGGGTCAATTTCTATATATATAGAAAGTTTAAGGACACGGGTTCTAAGGAGAATGTAGGAATTTGAAGACAAAAATTTAGAGTCACAAATCTTGATTTTGGTAAGCGAAAGAGAACCACAAAACATTGAAGGATGATAGGTTTAAAAAATCTATGGACAATTTCATCCTTGCCATGAAAAACAGCGACTTGCTGTGGAGGTTTACAGTTGGGTTTTTTTAGCTTGCCAGCAGAAAAATGGGTCCAAAATCGATAAATCAAACTAAGGTCGGACCAAAATTGGTTTTATAATTTTATAAAAACCAGGAAAGTGACAAAAATATAAAGAAGTAAAAATAAAGTGCCAAAATTATAAAGAGGAAAAGTTTGTTGAAACTTTAGTGGCAAAATTAGTAAAAATATTGTACCAAAACTATAAAGAGGAAAAGTTTGTTGAAACTTGTAACATCCCGTTTTAAATAGATTGATTAAATAATAAATCAGGAACCTCGGGAAGTAATTATTATGATTATTTTATATTATTAGAGCTCAAAATTAAATGATAATTAGTGGGGTGTTGGTTTCGGGGAGCCAAATGACAAGATTTGAATCTCTAGGGGTTAAAGTGTGATTGTGAGACTTAATTTGTAAAGATTTTCATAAGTCAAGGGCTGATTGGTAACATTTTGGACTTGATTTGTAAAGGAGGAGTTGTTTTGGAATTATTGGACTCATATTGAAAAGAATTATGGGAGCAAGGATCAAAGTGTAAGTTTTGGACTTGATTTGAAAGAAATTTCAGATGGCAGGGTTGAAAAGGTAAAGTATGGGCTGAGTTTGAAAGAAAAGGGGAAAGGGAGGGGATAAAGGTGGCATTATGGGATAAGTTTGATGAGGGTGGTCGGGTATATATCCTACCGAGTAACCCTAACCCTAACTGTGAGTCCAGCCGCCACCTCCACTCTCGTGATTTCTGGCGCCGCACCACCACCTCCGTTGAGGTCGTTGCCGCTGCCGCTAAGGCCGAAGATGCGAGCCACCAACCACATTGCTGCCGACGGTTGAAGAATCGAAGAGTGGGTGTTGGACGTCGGGGCAGAAGGGATTGAGGGATCGAATCGACGCCGCTGCCTTGTTCTTCGCCAGAGGGTGAACGCCTCCTCGTCTCCGTTTCTTTCTGTCGTTGAACTATCGCCGCCGATGTCGCTAGGGTCGTCGAACGCCGCCGTGTTGCTGTCGTAAGATCCGCTGCTGTCGCCGATGGTGCTGCTGCCGCCGCCGGCCTCAACCACCAATCCATTGAAGACTAAGTGGGTACCAGTTTCCCATGGATAGCTTACTCAGAAGTGCCATTGTGTTCGCGTGTTGCTTGGTTGAGACTCAAGAAGACTCGCCACCACCGTGGGGTGGTGACTGTCAACGCAAGACCGCCGCCAGCCGCCACTAGGTGGCTGTGTGTGGGTGTTTAATCTAGTGTGTGCGTGCTTCAGTTGTGTTTCACAAGCTGATGGGTGTCTCGGGTTGCTGCTGGCGGAAAATACCCAAGAAAAACCACCATGGCTGCAGGCCATGGTGGCTGCCACCTCCGACCACCGTCTACCGCCTCATGGTAGTTGTTTGTGTAATTATTAGGTGTTTATTTTGGGCTTGTGTGTGTATCATTGTAATATGTAATCGGAATAATAATAGAAAAACTTGAACCACCACCATGAGGTGGTGGTTGCCGCCTCCTGCCGCCACCGGCCGCCGTGTCGGGTGGCGGTGTGCTTTGATTGCGTTGGACCTCGTTTGGATGTTTGGACAAGGGGCTGCTAAACCCTAATGGGCCAAAAGAAACCCTAGTGGGACCAAAGAGACCCCAATGGACCTAATAAAACCCTAATTGGCCCAATAAGGCCCAAAATGACCTAGAAGCTCAACCAATTGACGAATGAGCTAGTATTGGGTTGGAAAACCCTATGGGCATAAAACCCTAATTGTGGGAATCGCTTGGGACACACACGAGAATTAATTATTAAACTTAAAATAATAATTAATAATCATTGGCAAACTAACTTAGCAATAATGGACTTAATGGATTAAGTCCTTTAGGGGTTAAGTAAGAAACACTTAACCCTAATCATCATTTCATGTGAAAGCCCTAATCTCACTCGGGCTTTGAATTTGGCCTTCCTATTGGGGCTTTGGCGATTGGACTATTGATGGGCCATCCAAGAACAAGTTAATGCACCAAAGTAATTAGATGGGCTTTAGGATAAGGCCCATGTGAGGACTTGTGCCCAATTTGGAAAATTGGGCCATAATTGGGCCTTTATGATTATGTGATAATGGGCCATGGGAATTGGATTGGAATAATTGGATGGGCCTTAAGGAAAGACCATGTAGAGGTCTGGGCCTAATTTGGAAAATTGGGCCATATGTTGGGCTTTGGCCCATTATTTTACTTTTGGGCTTTTGTAGTGTGAGTTGAAACTTGGGCTTGGAACCCAATTATTAATTGGGTATTGGTTGATGTTGACAGTTCGGGAATCTGTCAACCAGCAGCAGGAGCTTTACCTGCGGGACTTCAGCAGTGTCAGGTGAGTTATCCTCACTATACTAAGGGGTCTAAGGCACCAAGGCCGGCCCATTGGATATGTTATCATAGCAGTGGTTATGTTGAGTATTAGTTAGTGTTGCATGCTAGTGGTTATGCCAGTTAGGTAGATCTGTAGGACTACCTGTGTTGTTATATGAATATCTGCATGCTCAGTAGTTATGTTATATGTTGATACGTTATGTGGGATGGGGTGAGGTGATACTGCTCCGTACGGTAACCAACAAACCCGGGAGCATTCCAGATATGGGCTAAGGGAGACTCGTACTGTGGGCTCGATGACAATCCAGATGTGAGCTGTGGGCCCGGATGACAATCCAGACTCACACTGTAGGACCAGTAGAAATCCAGTAGGTGGAGCATTCCAGATACGAGCTGAGGGAGACTCGTACTGTGGGCTCGATGGCAATCCAGATGTGAGCTGTGGGCCCGGTAGGCAATCCAGACTCACACTGTGGGCCCAGGGGTAATCCAGTCTGTAAAGCTGTGGACCCATTATATGTTGTTCAGTTGTTATGTTATGATATTGCTGATATTGTTATGTGGACTGTATGTGTATCAGTATTTTGGGGGTAACTCACTAAGCTTTCGGGCTTACAGTTGCAGTTTATTGTTTCAGGTGCATCAGGGGATCGTGGCAGGGCAAATGCGTGATCGTACAGCTCCTCACTTTTTATGACTATGTTTCTGGGATACTCTGATATTAAACTATTTTGGAAACATTTTGTAATGACTAATGAGTTTTGAATTGTTTAAAAAGTTTTAAATTGGCTTGAATTTTACGGGTGTTACAAAACTTTAGTGGCAAAATTATAAAAAAGTAAAAATAAAGTGTTTAGGTCTTATTTTTTGGATGTTACAATATCCAAGAGTCTCAAGTGTTTGGACTAAACAAGTCTCAAACCTACCTCATATGGATGCACATGATCATATTTTAAAACTTAAACTTCATTTAGAAAACATTAAATCTATACATCAGTATACCCCTAAACACTTGAGACACTAACACATTTAGACATTTATTTAAACAATTTATGTGAAGTTTTTAATAGCAAATTTTTGATGGTAAGGATAGGCAATTGTTTAAACTTTGGAGTTTATTAAGGAATATATAATGAGAAAAAATATGAACGTGCAAAGGCTAATAGAGAAATGTGAGGGAACCATTACACTAACCCCCAAAAACTTGACAAGTAACCAAAGTAGCTACTTTGGTTACTTGTTATATAGTTTGGTTTAAAATGTATCTAATTTTAGGGGTTTACTGATGTATAGAGTAAAATCATTTTCAATTTATAAACTAATGTTTAATGTCATCTACTCTCATGTTGTTACAATATCGTTCAAATACTTGGTTAAAAATATGTGTAATTCATGTATATTGCCAAACTCTAATGTCACTTTCACAAACACCATTACATAATCATAGAAATCCATTTTCATGTCATTTTCACAAATACCATTACATGATCATAAAAATCCATTTTCATCGCAACATCAACCACTTTGTAACCATTCCAAGTTATAACATAATGAAATCAACTATGTTCTTTTAATGCATTTTATACATATAAAGAACCAATTGAGACCAAATTTTAGGCAATGATTTTTTTTTTCTCTCCATGTTTCAGAATATGGTTACAATTTAAAAGCAAAATGTACTACATAACCATTTTTTATTCCAACAACATTTAATTCATAGAGAAATAACACAACAAAGTTACATTACATCATTACAATTCATTTAAGCAAAAACATACACATTTCTTATTACAACAATCCGTTCACTAACAACAAAAGCAAAGTGTTTTTTAGATAAAAATCGAAAAAAAAAAGATAAAAAAAAAAATCCACAAATGATATAACAACTTGTATTTCATGGCAAACTTAAGATCTTCAATCTTGTTCTTTGCAATGAGCAATTATGGGATAATGGTCATAACCCTACAACACATAGAAGGATCGACCTACCCAATGAACCCATACCTCCAGCAACTCCAAAATCATCTCCCTAAGTTAATATCATTCCATAAAGTTACGATGAATGTATGGCTTCCATAGTGACAAATCACCATTGTGTGATTAAATGAGATTTTTTTTCTTGTTTTGATTTATAGAGGGGAGAAGGAAGAGATAAGATGGATGAAGAATATGATCTAATTTTAAATCATATACGTTATAATGAGAGAGAAGGGGGAAACCAAAATGCCCTAATGTGAGGGGCACATTTTGATTATAATAGTTTTATGGATCAAAACTGCAACTTTTGCCTCCCATAAGGACCATTAGTGCTAAATTTTCAAAATAAAAACTAAAAGTAGAGATAAATGACAATCATAGGAACCAAAACTGTAATATACTCGTTCTTAAACTAAAAATTATAAGAATAAAAAATATAAATCAATGCTAATTAAAAACTAAGGTGACTATAATCGTAATTATTGCATTTCATGCGAAGAGGGATATGTAATGCTCCATTTGTTCGAAAGGTAGAAGTAATAAAAGTTTAATAAAATTTCAGAATCGTGTGCCTCAAACTTGCTTTTCCGAAATCCGGGTCTATAGCTTCAATCAATTATTAAATATGGTTCTGATCTAAATGGGAATTTGATTTTAACATCAACGATCTGAATCCTCTTATTTCTGGAAACCGATTCTCCAACTACTATAGAGTAGCTCTATCCCAAAACCCTCAAATTACAGTTGAAGAAATCCCCTATGAACAATCAGTGTTTAGCATAAATCGCAACCCAAAAATCTAAAATCTTAATTCGCGAACTGGGTATAGACAGATCGGCCGAAATTTGCAGCCGAAAACTTGTGATCTTTTAATGCGGCAAGGAAGAAGGTTAGCATAATATGTTTTGGAGGGAACGCGAAAGGGAGATCAACAAAGAGCAAAATGGAGGCCCTCCTTGTGGGCAGGTTCGAGTTCTTGTTGTTGGGGATTCAGGTAACTGCTTACTTCAATTTATTGTTATTGTTCTTCTGTTGAATCATCAGATTTGATGTAGTTCATATGCTGTTTCTATTTGAACATGATTTGAATAAGATTTTATCGGTTGCGTATGGAGATTAAAGTTGTCTGTCACTTGACAATTAGATTTTCATCCTCTAATCATATTTGTTTGCCGGAACATACATTTTTTTGGGTGCTAACTTCCGATCTGTTATGCTTTACTCAAATAGACCATATTTTTAGGTTAAATCCAACATTTATTTCAAGTAATCCAGTCAGCCTTTTGCAATCATAGATGCCATACTACTTACTAGTTATCATTTAGAGGATTTTAGGGTTGCAGTAGGATGCTATGTGATAAAATCATCCATAAGAAGCTCCATGGTGACTCTAGTAGCTTTTAGCAAGGTCTTGTTGGTTCTTGTCTTCTTGAACTGAATTGTGTTGCATATTATGAGCATGATACATACCATCTGTTGTAGTTTATGCTTTGCTAGTATTTCTTAAACTTAATGATGCTTGAGAATGGGAAAATGTTTGTGATTTTGAGTGCTGCTCTTATTTCCAGATGACCAGATGTTGCTTTTGATTCATAGTTTTGATAGTTTATATCTTTTATTTCCTTTTTAGAAGCCAATCATAGATTAATCAGCTCTTGAATCCAAGATGCTAGGAGGATTTCTGAGTGAGAGATGACCTTTTGTGTTGCTATAATATAGTGAGGCTTCTTTTTTCTCCCATTAAGTGCTGTCTGAACTCTGGATGAATTCGCTCTTTAAAAATTGCAAGGATATATAAATGAGGGAAAAGTTTTAAAAAGTTACGACTTAATGAGGGAACCTTCATTTTCTGACTTTCTCTATTATGATTTATGTTGTTCTTTCTATATGTTGAATTAAACCTCTTGCAAAATTGATCTTAAATTGGGCTCTTAGGTTAGGAACTTCCCCCATTGCTTCATTAGCAACTAATTGTTGAATAATAATAGACTTCTTTTCTAAACTTGTCTTCATCAATCAGCTTTTTAAATGAACACCTTATGCTTTCTAACTTGATGTCCTTTATGCCTTTTTTTTTTTTTTTTTTTTTTTTTTAAATCTATTATATAGGTGTGGGAAAAACTTCTCTTGTTCATCTGATAGTGAAAGGTACAACAACAAAACATCCTCCTCAAACAGTTGGGTGTACAGTAGAGGTGAAGGTATATATAGATTATAGATATATCTTAACCAAATACAATTATATATTGTATAAAGTAACTTTTATATATTTATGCAGCATTTTACATATGGAACTCCTAGTAGCTCTTCAGATAGTGAGAAAGGTGACAAAGATAGGGATTTCTTCATTGAACTCTGGGATGTCTCTGGACATGATCGTTATACAGATTGTCGTTCCATCTTTTATTCCCAAATAAACGGTATTTATATAAATATAAATATAAATATTATTTCTTTAAACTTGAATCTTTCTTGAAGATTAAAGAACATGTGTTGTGTGTGTAGGTGTTATTTTTGTGCATGATCTTTCTCAAAGAAGGACAAAAACAAGTTTGAAAAAATGGGCAGCAGAAATTGCAGCAACGGGGACATTTTTCTGCCCCGTTGGCGAATGGGGGTCCAGGTGGCCTTCCTGTACCCTACCTTGTCATTGGTAACAAAGCTGACTTGGCAGCCAAAGAAGGGACAAGGGGTAGCAGTGGAAATCTTGTTGACATGGCACGCCAATGGGTTGAAAAACAGGGTTTGCTTCCATCAAATGAGGAGCTCCCTCTCATTGACACCTTTCCTGGATCTGGAGGGCTTATGGCTGTAAGATTTTGCATCAATTTCAATATGCATTTCTTGATGTTGTTGTTTTTTTTTTATATCAATTTTTATTGTTTTAAAAAATGTTCAGGCTGCAAAAGAAGCAAGATATGATAAGGAGGCTGTGATGAAGTTTTTCCGTATGGTATGCACATATAAGATCTTTTTTCTAATCAATGAGACTAAATGACCATTTTACCCTTACATTCCAAAAAAACAAATTTCACAATATTCATAAGTTTTAGTCGATGATGTGTAACTTTTCAGTTGGTAAGAAGAAGATATTTTTCAGATGAGTTACCAATGGCAAGTCCATGGTCAACCTCAGTACAAAGACCATTACAGAATTTGAGTGATGAAGATCAGATATACACAAGTACAAGGTATAATATAAAGCTTATATTATATGAGAGAATAAATTAGTTTTAAAAAAAAAAAATCATATTATACTTTTGCAGGACAAGTGGAGACTCGTACAAGTACAATGTGCTACCACCACTGCCAGCTCAGCGCAATCTGACCCCACCTCCCACACTGTATCCTCAGCAACCGGTGTTGACGCCTGACAATTATAATATACCAAGATTTGCATTGAGTGGAGCTCAAGAATTAAACAGTATTAGATCCAAAAGGAATGATATCAATGTATGATTTTGATTTTGCCACTACTATAAAAAAAAATGGGCATATGTTTTCTTTTTTCTTCTTACTGTGTTGATGCTTCTTGATTGTAAAAACTAGTCTATTCATTCTTTTGACTCAGTGAGATATATTGTTGTTGCCTCTTTGGTTTGATTTGTTCAATGTGAAGATTGTTGGTGGAAATGGGTTAAATGCATGAGACTGCATGTATAATAGAGGGATTAGTTAGTTGTACAAATATATTATTTTTGATGAAAAAGGCAGATGTAAATTATTTTTGGGCATTTAAAATGTTATAAGAATCTTAAGTCACACAGATATGCCAAGGTATTAGTTTTGATGAAATTTGGATATCTTAATTTCCACTATGATATATATGAATACTAAATATCATCTATAGAAGATGTGGATTCAAAATGAAAAATCACTCTTTCTACTAGCAATGTCGATAAGATGATAAGATGAGTTGTGACAATTAATCATGTTGAATTAGGTTTAACTAAACGATTTGAAAATCTCAACTCACTTAACCTGTTTATAAATTTAGTTGATATTTTGCAACTCAACACGACCTGTCATATAAATGAGATATTGATTGGCGTCAGGTTGACACGTTTTATGGTTTCCACATTCCAACCTATTAAATAAAAGGATGGAGCTATTTAATCCCCAAAATATAAATAAAATAAGAAACAAAATTTCGCCTAATTAAATAAGTTACAAACCCATATAATTATTTAAATACAAATAAATATGTTTAAATAATATTGGAAATGTACTCAACTTTCACTTTAATATCCTGACAGTTCATGAAAGAGAATCAGATTAGTCAATTAGGTTAAACAAATTACAAGTGAGCAAGTATGGGATCAAGTTTAAAATTAGGGTTTAATTTTTAGTATTATATATAAGATACTATAACAGTGATATGAAATTAAATATAAAATAAAAATAATTATTATATCTAAACAGAATGACATGATAAAATTATACGAAAATTTCAATTATAACCAGGATGATTCCAAACATATTTTGGAGAGAAAAAATAAGCCCCCTCAAAGAGTAAAATTTCACAAAAATACAATAATTGATGAAAAATACTTCTAGCATTTTTAGATGCAAAGTCACTAATAACAATATAACAAATAACTAGCAAATAGTAACGAAATAAAAACATCTTATGGCTAGTTTTGTTTAAGTTGTTAATTTCTTCATTTTTTTCTTGAAATTTTAAAAAACACTATAAAAACTAATAAGCAAAATATTAAAACCCAAATAAAATTATATGCAAATGGGAAAAAACATACCAATTTTTCATTCACACAACCACCTAAAAGAGAAATTGCAAACAAATCGCGAGTGACATGTCACTTTATCACTTAATCAAAAAACTATGAAATAATACAAACTAGGTGTAAACCCATGTATTACATGGGTTCATTTAAAAGAAAAATTAAATATGAAATTTTAAACATTTAAGAAGTTTGAATTTATAAGAAAAATTAGAAAAATATTGAATTATTAAAATTAAAGTGTTTTTTTTCTTTTTTTAATTTAAACAAATAATTTAGATAAATAAACAAAGGAATTTAATAAATTTTTAATTTAGAAATTATAAAATTAGAAGGAAAGTCATTTAGTGAAATTGATATTCATTTATTATTACATTTAAATATTATGTGAAATTTGATAAAATAAAAAAACCACAAAATGTCATGTGGAAAAATTTTAATTGAAAATAACCACAAAATGACATGTGACCAAATCAGTGAGAGTGTGACATGTGGCAAAAAGATTTTCATTTATTAAAGTAGATAAATCAATAGACATTGTACTATAGTAAAATTACAGTTGTATGTATGACACTGTTGGAATATTTGTTCCTAAATCATAGTACTACATTTTCACTTATGTGACAAGTCATTAAACAATTTTGTAATAAAAATAAAGCTAATTCTAGATAAAGCTTACAAGAAAACCACATTATAATAAAAAAAAATAATTCACAATGTCTATTCACATTAAAGATAAAAATCAATTCACATGTTCGCAATTCCAAAAAGAAAAAAAAGAAAAAAAGAAAAAAAAGAGATAGGTTCTAATTTCAAAACATTAAAATTCAATAACCCAAATTGAGTCAAATTACAAAATTTTAATTTCTAAATAAGGGGAATATTGTCAATATATTGAGGATTGAAGACGCTCAGATAGATTACATAATCAAAATGAAAAAACAAAATGCTGATGTAAAACAAAGTCAAACATTCTTTTATGCATATCATGATCTTCGTGAAGCGGCAAAATTCATGTCATCGATTTCCTACAAAGATACAAAATTTGGAGGTCTGTTACCAGGTTTTTCAGACACATCTGCAACTTTCCATGAACCTTGTATTTCTTAGGATAGTAATAAAGTTTTTCCCAAATAATTGAATGAGGCACTTTGCATAAAGAAAGACAAGTCTTTGTACAAATATAATATCTGAATCCACAATGTTTTGGGACCTATGAATTTTTTTTGTTAAACGAAGAACATTAACTAGATACCTCGACCAATACTATCGATACGTAACATAGACTAAAAAAATTCGGCCCTTGTAAAGGATGGGCCACGAACCTAGTTTTAACCCAATCTCTTTAATTAAAGATACTATCTCATTTAATAAAATAAGTTAAAAATGTCACTTCAATCCATTTATTTTGGGTTAGGTTCAAATTGAATTAACATATCGGGTCGTTTTTTTTGTCAGCTTCGATATTTTAGAAGGGGCTAACATGTTTAGTATTCCCTTTAATAGTTTAATATTTTGAGCTTTTTTTAACCTACTAATCTAATATATTCCTAAATAACAATTAATTTCACCTATGAACCTCTCAAAAAAGAAGAACAACATCTGGATTAGAAGCTTTAATTTTAATATTTATAACAACATCGAGTATTTAAAATCTTTAATATAAAAATATAAAGCAGAAACTATTCGTAAAAGCATAGCAGACAAACCCAATTTTGATTGTTAAACAGCCGGCGGTATTCAGAACAGCGGCTACATTCAGAGTCTCACCACCGCATTCCTGTTATATATGTAATCATCTTCCTACAAATTTATTCGATTGCTCACTGTTTGAATCGTTGATGCTTTTGTCTGTGAATTAAAGGTTTTTGTTTGTTTGACCAGAGAATCAAAGAGTGAAAAAATGGGAATTCCTACGGATATGAGAGATGCCTGGGTAAGCCACAGGAAGAAATCGTCAAGTTTTATGATTCCATCTCCAGAAGAAGATCTCAAGTTTCTGAGATCCAAAATGTGTACTCAAGGTGAATCGAATTTTCATTCCTTTCTATTTGTGTTAGATTTGAAATTCATGTCGTTTGTTTATCTTGGGGGTAGGTTAGAGAAGGGATGCGATCCTTTAAACGTGTTTAGAACGTGTTCCTTCTCATCAACTGGATTTATATGCCCGCTTGCCCCATGATTCATTCGTTAGGGTTCATTCGTTAGGGGACAAGGGGTTAATTTGGTGGTTGAAGAATGAAATTGAAAGTCATTCCATTTTCCTGAAATGATCATCGTTTAATTGTTAGATGATGTGAATAATTCTCTCTTCAAAATGCTTACATTTAGCTCATCCCTTCCACTTTGTGTAGCACTTTCATCATCTATGTTTCTTGGAACATTCCAAACAGCCAATTTCTGCCATGTTTAAAAGGCATGAAGCACAAACATCCTATATATCTCACGCTTCTCCTAAAGTATGATTTTAACCATTAATTACATGATTTGCAGAAGGGGTTCGTGAAGGAATGAAGTCAGCTTCAATTGCATGTGTTGCCAGTGCAATCCCTACGGTTGGTAGCTTCATATTTTTATGCTTTCACTTAAACCTTTGCATTTTAAAATCCTTTCTATCAGATAAATTGCAACAAGGGAACACCAGATTTAGCTTTGAATTTGATGAAGTTATGTTATTATATTTATAGCCACTGAAATACTTGTAATTTTCAGTTAATTGCTGTGCGTACAATCCCCTGGGCAAAAGCAAACCTAAATTATACTGCTCAAGCACTCATTATATCTGCTGGTATGCTCCAAAATTTAAATAACTGATTTTATATAGATATAGTATGATTTTATAAAGATTCTTGTAGATGTGATTTGATTTTGATTTGATTGTTGAAACAGCATCCATTGCTGCATACTTTATCACTGCTGACAAAACTATACTGGAGTGTGCAAGGAAAAACACACGCACCCTTTATGATAAATCCGCTTAACAGTTTACAATTAATCAATTATGATTATGATATCTGGCTTCTCAGTGTTGTTTGTATCGAGTTTAAGCTTCACATGTGGGCCCCGAAGTTTATGCTTTCAGGTCTCCATTTTCTCTACCAGTGAGATAGATGCATAATTATAAAAAAAAAAAAAAAAAAAGGAAAAATAATTGTTTTTATGCGTTGATCTTTAGTGGCTGTATATGGATATAATTTGCTTAATAATTCCTGTCTTGCATTGTTGACTGGACCTTTTTCCTTTTCGCTTCATTTGGCCTATAAAAGCTGTAACGATTTTCATTTCAAAACGTTGTATATTAGTCGCTGCTGTTTTTTTGGTCAAAATTTTAAGCTAAAGTTGGTTTGAAGTATAGTGAGGCTTGTCAACTGTCATATCATATTTCCTTTAGTTTATGCAAATGTGCAAACTCGTAAAGTAGCAGAACTGAACTCAACTTATCTTGAGTTAATCGTGATTATACTAAACGGCTTTATGTCACTAAAATTCCCAACATATAATATAATCACTCTCTAATAATCAAGCTCTAATCCATCCATATAAATACCCATTCTCTCCATCCAACCAATCTATCTAATATAATACATTCATCTAACGCACAAAATTGATCCATTCATATCCAATTCAATCCAATCCATCCATACACCCATCTAATCTTATGTATATGGTCCACCCATCCGACCCATACGATTATATGATCAATCAATCAAACACATCCAAGATATTTTGGTCTATCTACCTAATCCATTCACTAATCTATCCATGTTACCATGTAATTCTTTTATTTGATCTACCCATCTATTTCGTGTAACCAAACTATTGAATACATCCTTCTTATCAATCCAATGAATCGGTCAACAAATTTGTATTGTTTGAAATAACAAAAATTGAAAAATGAAAACTGATAGAAACTCCACGTCCAAATACGTTTTCTACTTTTCTAAAATGGAAAATGGAAACCCAATCAATTTTAACCAAATGCGTTTTATAAAATTTTTACGGAAAGCAAAAACTTCACTCATTTTTCTAAAGAGTTAAAAAAAAATGATAACAACTTTCCATAGCCAAACACACCCTTAGGATATGAATTCCTTTGGAAATGAATGGTTTAGTTCACTTATGGTTGACTTGACCAATGGTATGATGTGTGAACTCTTTGTTACACTTGGATTATCAAACACACCCTCTAATAAATAAAGCATGTTTTAACATATGCATGTAGGGGAAACATGGACATCAAGCCATCAACATACAAGAATGCAAAATCCAAAAAAATTGTTATTGAAACTATTACAAGCAATTAGAGAACTCCATTGCTATACAATGAGATAATTTGAATCTTGTGTCAACCTATAACAACAAGGTCTCATGGACCAATGACAACTTTCCTTCTTTGTTTCTTTTCTCTCATTATCACTAGCCTTTCTCTATCCTTTTACTAGTATCTACCCATCTATGTACAATAATTCCAACAGGGAAGAAAAACAAAAAACAAAAAACAAAAAGTATACCAAGTTTTCGAGTCTTTGAGCTCAAAATGTAATGTGTGATTTAAACTTTAAAATGCATACCTATAGATAGCATCGGCAACTCCATCTTCATCATTACTAACACCAATCACATTAGCTGCAGCTTTTGTCTTCTCACATCCATTACTCAAACAAACCCCTAAAGAAGCCAATTGCATCATCTCAACATCGTTTTCTCCATCACCAATAGCCATTATCTGATCATCAACAAAGACTCTAACTAAAATCATTTATATTGATTAAAATAAATGACGATACAATGAATATGATCAATGATAGTACTTTCATGACACACACACACACACACACACACACCTACCTCATTTGCAGTAACTCCAAGATGATCTAGCAGGATTTTTACTCCATTACCCTTTGAAGTGCCAGGTGGCACAATTTCAAGCATGTCTGCTTGTGCTTGAACAACACATGCACGACCCTTTGTTGCTTCTGACCAATATGGCCTCAGTGTTCCAGAAACCCCTTCAGCAGTGTCTAGAAATAACACCTTTTGTACATCTCCACTACTTAACAGCTCCTCCACTGAAGGCTTAACTTCTGCCTGTTAAAAAGAAAAAGGTATCAGTCATGTAGTCCATGTTATCTGCTTAAATGAAAGAAAGAAAATAATGACGAAAGTACCCTTGGTTCATGATATATGGTGTGGAGGGAGTCCACAAGAGGATGACTGAATAAGGTCAGCAAACGATTCTCACTAAATGCAACAAGTGGAACCTTGTGTTCTACAGAATAATGAAATGCTTCTTTGCAAACATTTGGATCCAAATTTGTTTTTTGAATTTCCTTGCCTTCTTTTCCATAAACAAGCAAACCCTGATAGTAGAGTAAGAAGAAAACATTTCTTATAATTAAATGATAAGTTGACTCAAAATTAATGAACTATATTATTATTATTATTATTACTATATCAAAGTGACACTTGAAAATTAATGTGAGTAGCTAGGCAACCTGTATGAAAACACCTGGTGAGGACTCTGAGACAATTCCATCTTTTCCTGCTAAATCCACCATATTTAAAAGAGTTATAGCAGCTGGACGAGTCTGTTTGCAAAGATTACATGCAAAATAATGAGAAAATTGAAACAAATACTTCAAGAAGTCACAATAAAATCCAAAATTTTCTTACTTTTCCAGTGGCTAACACCACTTTTACACCCATTGATGAAGCCTCTCTTAAAGCCTCAGCATTTGTTGCAGAAACTAGACTTTTGCTATTCAGAAGTGTACCTTGTATATATCCATAACAATACATGACAACCAATGAAATTATATGCAAAGAAGATGAAAGAAAGAAACATTTGAAATCAATCTCACCATCCATATCACAGAAGATATAGCTGAATTTTGGCTTGTAGTTTTTAAGACTTCCTGCTTCCTTCCTTCCTTCCTTTTGACAATTCAAATGTTAAGCCATTACTCTACCAAAATTTACTTTATGTGTGTTGTACATTATATGATAATCAGTAACTTTGATATCTTGATAGATCATAATATTGGAAACTTTATGCAAGTTATATCTCAACCCTATGAATGCTTAACCTTAGAAAAAAAAAACTTAGAAGCAAAGGACACTAAAATCGTGCAAATGTTTGTTCTTAAATACTAATGATACATCAGTGTATATAGATGAATTCTCCCTCCAAAAATGGATGATGTAGGCGCCAAAAGCATACCAACAATAGAGAATTCATAGGCATGCATGCTTAAATTTGAAAAATGTGGATAATTGTTTAATCAAGAAAGAATATCTAAGAATAAAATACCATGTTCTTGGATCAGCTTGTAGATGCCCTCTTCTGTATCGATCCTTTAAATTTCTCTTCTGATCCAAGACGTTCCTCCTCTTCCTCCATTTTTGGATCGGCCTCTTCAGGAGAATATGAGTTATGACTAGAAGAGAACCGTGATTTGAGGAGAACCCATTTACGTACATTACAACCACTTTAATTAATTAACGATGTATTGTAATTGTATTGTCTCCTTAACCTTCGCATCAATTATTCTTCATCTCCGCTAATTCTAATTATCCCTCCTTCCCTCTGTTTTGGTGAATGGTTTTTTTTATAAATCACATCATGCAAAATTGCAAATGCGATGAAGTGTTCTTTAACCTGTCAATTTTCTTCTTATATATTGTAAAAAACATATGTTCGTAAATTTTCTTTTCTTTAAAATGGAGACCATCTTGACAGATTTTAGTATAAAATATCAAAACTCATAATGATTCCGTTTTTTTAATATTATGTGTGTTGTTTTCTATAAATAAAATTGCAAATTTTTAGTTAAGATATCATATAATGATTCAGCTGATTCCTTACTATTCAGTTTTTTCACTTCTTCTAGAAATGTTTTTTTTTTTGTTAAAAAAATATTTTTGGATCAAATCCATGCGGTTTTTTATGATTCAATTGATATCTCGACTAAAACACAATTGAATCGATTGACATTTGTTACTAAAAGACAGCAAAAACATAATTAGAAACAATTATCAATGATTCCATAACAATAAAATCGTCTAATACAATAGTCATTTGTTTTTCTAAATCATTGGCAAATATATAGTTTTTAGCAACTTCATTGAGATTGGGTAAGATTCTTAAGCATAATTGGTGATGAATTGAAAGAAATATAAAACAAGGAGGTTGTAGGTGATTAATTAAGTCCTCTTTTGTGAATTTTTGAATCAGCCCAATCAAAATTACGATACAAGAGTTATATTCATTATATTTTGAACCACTTCAATCGGAGTTTGCATGTTCAAGTTATGGTCGGTACTAGAGAAAAAAAAGGTTATGACTTTTGTTGTATTTAGTTTTTTTTTCTAATAAAGAAAGAATAGTTTTTTTTTTTTTTTTACAAAATAAGTTTTGTTGGGAAAAAAAATAAACAACAAACCATAAAATGACATGAGGCAGGAATCCAATTGTACCTGTTTAAAGGAATTTTGACGATCATACCCCTATGAAAACGACTGCCTGCATTATTTGCCACAGAAATTTGGTTTCTCATAGGACCCATAGAAAAAGGTTGATTTTTTATACATAAGCACTCGTGTTGATGGATGAAGATGATATCCAATCAATTACTATAAGCCCTCAATTATCATAACAACATAATGAATATAAGCTAACCCTATATAAAATTGAAGATTTTTTTTTTGAAATTATATTACTATGTTTGTTATAATATCTTATGTACTTTAGTTGTATTCATGATCATGAATATATATTGATTTAAAAAAAAAAAAAAGAGCACATTAATATACTTGTGTCAACCTATAACAATGTCTCATGGACCAATGACAGTTTAGCCCTGTTTGTTTCTTTATCATTTTCCTATTTACTAGCCAAAAAAAAAAAAAATAGGAATCCCAAAGTATACAGTTTTTCTTCAAGTCTTATTAAGCTCAAATGTATTTATTTGAGCTCTTAAAATGCATACCTATAAATAGCATCAGCAACTCCATCTTCATCATTACTAACACCAATCACATCAGCAACAGCTTTTGTCTTCTCAGATCCATTACTCAAAGCCACCCCTAAAGAAGCCAACTCAATCATCTCCACATCATTCTCCCCATCACCAATCGCCATCACCTCATCTGCTCCAACACCAAAATGGTCAAGCAGCATGCGGACCCCACTCCCCTTTGAAGTGCCAGCTGGCACTATCTCAAGCATATCTGGCTGTGCTTGAACAACAGATGCACGACCTCCTTTTATCGCTTCTGACCAATATGGCCTCAGTCTTCCAGACACCCCTTCAGCAGTGTCCAAAAACAACACCTTCTGCACATCACCACTGCTTAACAGATCCTCCACTGAACCCATAACTTCTGCCTGGAAAAAGTTTATGTTAAAAAATAATACTAGTAATAATTATGAAAGAATGTAATGACGAAAGTACCCTTGGCTCATGATATATCGTGTGGAGGGCGTCCACAAGAGGATGACTGAACAAGGTCAAGCAACGATTCTCACTGAATGCAATGAGTGGAACATTGTGTTCCACTGAGTAATCAAATGCCTGTAATATTAACATTATATTATTAAGCATCCAAATATAAAAGCATAAACTATAATTACAGAAATATATACCTCTTTGCAAACATGTGGATCCAAATTTCTTCTGTGAATTTCACGTCCTTGTTTGCCATAAACAAGCAAACCCTAACATGATTTTGAAATTAAGAACAAATCATGATTTTATAAATGATAAGTAGATATAAATAAATAAAATACCTGAATGAAAACACCTGGTGAATACTCTGAGGCAATTCCATCTCTACCTGCTAAATCCACCATCTTCAAAAGAGCTATAGCAGCTGGACGAGTCTAATTCCAAATATAACATAAAAAAGGTGAGAAATTCCAAACAAATAATAATAATAATAATAAAATCCTAAATTTTCTTACTTTTCCGGTGGCTATAACAACTTTTACACCTCTTGATGAAGCCTCTCTTAAAGCCTCAGCATTTGTAGCAGAAATTTGACTTTTGCTATTCAGCAGTGTACCTTTATAACAATTTGTTGGAATGTAAGGGTAAAATAGTCATTTAGTCAACATTTGAAGTAAATCTCACCATCCATGTCACAGAAGATATAGCTGAATTTTGGTTTGTAGAATCGAAGACTGCCAGCTTTCTTTCTTCCTTTTGACAATTCAAATGTAAAGCCCGTTACAAATATAAAAAATCAACACATAATGATTTAAGTAAATAAAAAATACGCAAGAGTAAAACTAAAATACCATCAGAAATCTTTGGTAAAAGGGTTTCATCAGATTCAACAGAAGATGCACTTTGTATCAATCCTTTTCCTTTCCATCCAAGACTCTTCAAAAGACGTTCTTCTTCCTCCTCCATTTCTGCTTCAGCTTCTTCATTAAGCTCATGATCAAATCCCAAAAGATGCAACAATCCATGGACCTATAAATTATGAAACAATACATTATAATCAAATTTATGTTCTAATTCTTCTCAAGAAAAAGAACAAACCATAAGAACACGAATCTCATCAAGAAGAGTGTGCCCTCTTTCCTCTGCTTGTCTTGCTGCTGTTTCCACTGAAATGATGATGTCACCCAACATTAGCTGCAACATAGAAAACAAATGTCAAAAACTAAATCACTGATTACTCAAAAGTAAATTTCAAGAGGGGGTAATTCAGACCATTGGAAGCTTGAGTTCAGGGACATGTTGAGACATGGAGAGAACATCAGTAGCATGGTCTTCGTTCCTCCAATCTTTATTAAGCTCACGGATGAACTCATCATTGCATAGAAGTATTGATAACTCGACACTCTCGAATTGGCCAACATTATCAACAGAAGAATCTCTTGTTTTGTGATCTGAATCTTTTAAACCATCAAATGCTAGTTTCATTGCCATTGGAACATTTAGACGAAGCATTTCTGCAATATCCTGCCATTTTTAGAAAAGAAGAGTGTTTAAATCAAGAAACATATCTCCATTCTGCCAAATGTAGAAAGAAGATCAGCTAGCTAAACTTCATAGGCAGTCATCAGTGCAACAGGGAAAAACAGATGTTGCATTGTAGAGGGTGAGAGTGCCTCTCAAGTGATGAAGCCCTAATATATTGCAGTTTATCAGATGAAAAAACCGATTAAGAGTTACAAACTGTATTGAAATTATAGGCATCTAAGACAATCACAACTATAGCACTCCTAAATCTTCAGGTTTCAGGTGATTCCTAGCAGAGAAGCTACAAGTGGTAAGTCTAGTAAGTATGCACAGAGTCATTGGTGAAATTGATTCATACTCAATTGTTGTTAGTTTATGAGTTTGGAACAGTTTAGGTCATTTTGTTCGTCATGTACAAGATTGTACTGTAACATTCAGTTGTTTAGAAGCGCCTGGCAAAACATTATACATATTTGGTCTGCAACTGCATTATACTCATGTTCATCAATAGACTTCTCTCAACTAGGATGTAACTTTTCAATCCATTGAATGAAGAAGTAATTGTACATTAATGAGTAATGAGTAATGACACAAGAGAAACGGAAGAGGGAGTACAAACCAGAATTTCAGAATCATCGGGCAATTGTTCTTCGATACCAATTCTAACATCGAGCTCCAACTCCTTCCTCTTGTCCTTCTTCCTGGCCGACGGGCGACCCCGCACCTTCCTGTACCCTCGCTGCGACGCCAGTACTTTCCCTCCCAACCTTCTCGAAAGAATCCAATCTCCATCTCTGCAACGGTGAGCACCGAATAAACCACCAAACAATGGAGAAGAAGAAGAAGTCGAATACGAAAGATTAGAGCGACAATGAGAGACCAATGAAGGTAACGATGGGAGTTTGGATGGGGCCGTGAGTGAGTGTGTGGAGAGGGTTCGGAAGATGAAACCGGCCGCCGCCATGGAGGAGACGTCTAAAGAAGAATGAAGGTTGCGGAGGAGGATAGGAGGGAGGCGAGACCTCATTCGGGCCGGAGACGGCGACTGAAAGTGATGTCTAGCAGTATATTCCCCCACAATTCGCCGGGAGCGAAGAAAACCGGAAACAAGTTAAAAGATAAAACCGAAAAACTAAACCGGCTAATATCTCAAACCCGGTTTACCCTAGTTCTAAAATGAGTAAATCTAAATCTAAATACACATTATTGTATCTTACTTGATACTTGAAAAACTTTAATATCTGTCTTTATGTTTGATAAAACTAAATTATTTAATGTACAAGGAATCTACCATATAATTCAGAAAGGAAATGGTTCCTTAATTATTTAATGGTATTTAATGGTTTTTGATTTGTTTAAATATCCTTATGTTATATAAACATGTCGATTCCTACCAATTCAAATAGTTTTTGAATGGTTCAATTTAAAAGTTATAGAACAGCAATTAAGTATTGTTGTTCCAAATCAAGAAACAATAATAATCTAAATGACACATTTCTTGAAATTTAGTTAAGTTTGGTATACCAAATTGACCTTTAAGTATTCTTGTTAAAAATGAGGATAGAAGTCAAAGAACAATAAAAAATGTGAGGTATATGTCATCTCAATTTGTTTAGACGTTAAATGAATGTTGTACAAAAAAAAATATCACATAGATATCACCTCGACTTGTTTAGACGTTAAATAGAATACTAGTTGTGAGACTCATGTATTACATGAGTTAATTTTTTTTTTAAGTTAAATATAAATGTCAAAATATTTGAGAATTTTGAATTTATAAGAAAATAAGAAAAATAATGAATTATTATAATGAAAATGTTTTTTATCTTTTAAATTTAAACAAATAATTTAAATAAAGAAAAGAAACTAATGAGCTTTAATTTTAGAAATTTTGAAATTAAAAGGTAAGTTTATTAATGAAATTGATATTCATTTGTTACTACATTTATTGCAATTATTACATTAAAATATTATGTGGAATTTAATAAAATAGAAAAACTCATAAAATGACATGTGGAAAAAAATTAATTCAAAATAACCACAAAATGACATTTGACAAATTGAATGAGTGTGACAAGTGGCAAAAAAAACATTCATTTATTAGAGATGATGATATATCCCGTGTTTAACGCGGGGGAACGCATAAAAAACATACAAACGTCTCTAGATATTGCATAATGATTAAAAAAATTATGACTATTCGTATTATTGAAATATGTAGAAGATACACTGAAATTGATAAATATCTATAATCGTTGAAAGACCTCTTTGTAGACAATATTTTTTGTTTTATTAGTTGAACGACCTTCCGCGTCACATATGAGTACCTTCAAACATTTTTTACTTGTGACACGGGAAACAACTACATATAACTGACCATGAGTCAAAACGGGTCTACGCAAGTATAATCTAACATCTGATAATGACTGTCCTTGACTTTTGTTAATGGTCATAACGAAACAAACAATGATGGGGAATTGCCTCCGCTGAAAACGAAATGTAATCTTTTTATCAGACGGGGTTAACTTCATGCGAGGTATATAAGTAGCTCATTGAAAAATCGGTCAGATATGATTAGGGTTTCAATGACGTCTCTTCCATGCCTTACGATCTGTAATCTAGTACCATTGCATAGTCCTTTGGTTTGGTCGATATTACGAAGTAACATGACCAAAACACCTTTTTTTAGTATAAGTTTATGGTTGGGAATTCCAGAAGCCTTAAAACCATTCAACACATCTGGAGAGTATACCAATTCCTCAAAAGAATCTTATGCCTCAGTTTCACATAAAGAATCTGAACTCAGACACGTTTTCCCTTCATCTTTCATCAAGTCTAACATGTAGTCATTGATAGCATCGACTTCTTCATTTGTAGGGACCAAAAATAGCTTTATCTTGAAAATACGATGGATCATCAAGATGGTTATGAAAGGATGAATAAACGGTGGATACAATTGAATGAATATGGTCACCCGTAGAGGGAACGATAACATTATCTGGAAATTCAACTTCAACTTCACCATCATTAGGGCCACCAATAGTACCTTCACCAATTTTAAGAATCCATTCATCAAATGATTTTGTCTCTTCGAAATCATTGTTTGGACAGCCGATCTGAAACCCCATGTTTACATTCAAACGTAAAAATATACATTCACACCATAATCTTGATGAATGCAATGATGCCTGGACAATATCTGAACGATTTCCTCTTTGTATTACTGGAAGAATATGTTGAAAGTCACCTCTAAATACAATGGTCTTGCCTCCAAACGGTTTATTCTTGTCCGATGAAAGGATAACGTCTCTAAGTGTCCTATCAACTACTTTGAAACAATGACGGTGCTTCATCGGGGCTTCATCCCATATGATAAGTCTAACTTTATTCAACAGTTCAGCTACATCGTTACCTGGTGTACTAGAACAAAACAAATCCTCATTCAAGTTGATTGGTGTATGAAATCTTGAATGCGTTGTCCTACCACCAGAGAGCAAGAGTGCTGCAATTCTGCTTGAAACAACATTGATAACAATTTCACCTTTAGATCTAATAGCAACAGACAGTGTTTTGCAAACAAATGTTTTCTCCGATCCTCCATAACCATATAGGAAAAAGACACCACCTTTTTTGTTGTTAACAACATTCATGATTGTATCATAAACCTTTTTTTGCTCGACATTTAATTTGGAATGCAGTTGTTGATTACGACTTCAAAACCGGACGTATCATAATTAAGCTCATCTTGAATTAACATATTGCAAGAATCTTGAAAAATATTTGTGATCAGGTAACGGCATATTGGGTATTTGCTTCAGACTCAGTCCACAACTCAATAAAGATTTCTCAATGTATGACAATGTTAGGTGGAAAATTGCTTCCGGTTTTAGCTTCAAGCCTGAAAAGACAAAAATTTATGAAATTATTTATTTTTAATATCAATTAATTTTAGAACGTTTTTAGTGTAAATGGGTTAGATTATTTGAAAATGTAGCTGTTACGCCGATTTCTTGTTCACGAATGTGAGCGACATCATCATAAATACAATTATAGGTCTCTTTAAAAACATGATGAGGACGGGATAGACTATCGGATGTAATCAACATAACAAATAGAGACCTACAGAATGAAGTAGTGGCCCAATGATGCGTTTTGTGTATAGAAGATATGTGCTATCTATCATCGTCTAATAGACCAAGAGCATAACAAGCATCTTTGTAAGATTCATAAACGGTACCGTTAACTGTCATGATATCTTCATAGCAAGTAGGACCCTTTACTTTGTTAAGCAAAATACGTAAGTAATAAACATCGCCAGACTTGGGAGACACGTGATTAATTCTACCAAGTGACTTTGTCTTTGTTTTTCTTCTTGTCCATACTTTATCTGATTTATTCCAAACATATTGACTTGGAAATTCAACATATGATAACTTCCGTACCTTTTCATCATAACTGTTACATTCCATCCAAGCCAAAAATTGAGATGCAGCAATAGTGGGTTTAGAAACAACATTAGTAACACGTTGGGATGGTTTAAACACAATAGGTTGTTTGTCTTCAAGGTGAAACGACAACCTTTCAACATGAGGTGTTCTATAATGAATGGCATACCCAAAAAGTCTCCAACATGCCTCACAAGCAGAAATATAACGACAATTGTAAAAGTCAACAATTTCATCACAGTCGTTATTTTCTTTATTTTGCTTTATTTATTCTCGGCATTATAAAAAGAGGTTGTGATGTCCTTTGCTAATATACTTAAAAAGATACTTTATTGATCTAAGTTGATTACACCACTCAAGATTCATATTCGCTTGGTATTGCTTCAAAAGTATCAACATATATGAAAAAGGAAAGAAACATGTCATAAATAACATTAAAATAATATTATTTTTAAAACAGAAGAAAAAAAAATAAACATATATGTTAGGTGCATTTCATGTACCCATTTTGTAGCTTTATTTCATAAAAGTACATTGCATATAGGCTTAAACTCATGCATTTTGCATGTTTTTCGGGATTTTTCATGAGGCAATTTCATTCACATACTTTTGTGATATTTTAGGGACTTTTGGAGGTAGGATCTTGTTGGAGGAGGTAAATAAGAGTTGCAGACAAAATTTCGGGACTTGCGGAGCACCGAGGAGCAAGATATCAAAGAAATGAAGATTTTGGCTTTATAGAGATTTACACGGCCGTGTAAATGCAAGCCTTGCGTTTACACGGGCCGTGTAAACGTAGATTTCTGCGCAGTATATTTTTGCGTTTACGCGGGCCGTGTAAATGACAGTGTTAATTTACGCGGGCCGTGTAAACGTAAATGCGGGTTTTAAAGCAGTTTTTCACCATTTTTAAAGGGGGAACCGACTTTTTACTTTGGGGGGTCGACTTTTGGAGTAGAGAAGACGATTTTCTTGAGGATTTTGAAGTTGATTAACACTTGGGAACATTTGATTTCATTTTGTAAGAACTTTAATTTCATTTTCTAGATTTGTGATCTTGTTCTAGTCATGAGTGGCTAGAACCCTAGATTCTCCAACTTTATGTCTTGACTTCTAGTTGTGATTTCAATCATATGACTTGATGTTTTCTTTTAATTTTCTATCTAGTGAATTTGATTTTGTTTCAATCGAATGTTTGATTCTAATTGTGATTCTTATTGGCCATTTGAATTAGGGTTAGATCATTCAAGTTATCTAATTGCAAAATCCATAATTGTTTTGTAAATTGGACTAGGTAACAAGCACTAAACTGATTTCTATTGAATGAATTTAGTGTAAATCTTATTCACACATTCTTATGCTCCCGAGCTTATGAGGAGTATTAAGTGTTGTTGGGAACATTCACATAAAGTTTAATGCAATCTTCCAACCTAATTCTAAGAGTTTGTTTAGATTAGATTGGTAAGGTTAGGATTAATCAAAGAGCTTGTTTTGGTTAATTATTGTGGTGAATGGGAAGTGTTAGAGCTTGTTAACACTTTCAAGTACCAACTTAGATAGAATTAAACAAATATCTTGTCATCCATGGAATCACATTGCTAATTTGTCTTGCATAGAGTTGGAGTACTTATAAATCTTGAACTTATTTCACTTAATC